CATGGCGAGGGCCTGGGGGAGCTCGCTCACTCTGTGGCGCCGGGTTTGTCCTTCAAGAAAGAAGAGGGCTCCCGTCCTGCGCGGTCAGACAGCGGCCAGCACCCGGGAGGCTCCCTGGAGGAGCTGCCGGTCCCACTGCTCTGTCTGCCTATGGTAGAAGGACGCCTCTCCTATCACCTTTGTCTCACACCTCTAAAATCCGCAGCTTTTGAGAGTGCCCAGGAGCTCTGCTCCCCTCTTTCCAGTGTTACCTCGGTCTCTTTATTCATGCTTAGTTTTCCCCTCCCTGCTGCCTAAATTGTTTCTTGGCTTAAGTGGTTCTTCACCCCTCCCCAGTGCTCACTTCTTCATCTCCTTACAATCTGCAACCCTATCCCCAACATTAAATATCTTTAATCTGGTATAATGCACTCTCTGCATCCCAGGGGGTCTCCCAGGGCCCAGTCCCTGGGAAGATCCCCAACCCACAGGTCTGCTTTGCCCTGAGTCATCACAGTTGGCCTGTGCTGAAGCCAGCAGAGCACACAGATGCAGGAGGTGAACCTTGCTGCTAGCTGCTCACAGCTGACAAAATTTGGGGTGCAGAGCTGCTTTCTGGCCCGAGGGGCTTTTCTGGCCATCACAATGCTTTCAGCTTACTCCTTTGGGTGCACAGCGATGGGTGTTACTACACAGGCCTTCCTGTGGTGCTCCAGACCCTCCATTGATAAGGTCTTGTAGATGTACTTGGTCAGCACATTTCATTGCACTGATCAATGATTTGTGCCAAGGCTGTTAATAGTGGTGTGCAATAGGATCAGCTGCGAGGGTGAGTGCTCAGGCTTCTGCCTAGCCTGGCTGTTGCTGTGTCACTAAAGGATGCCGTCACCTTCCCGTAAATCAGCTTTCTTGGCTCCTTTGCATGTGGCAGGAGATCACAGAGATCCCAGGCAATGACAGAGTGAGTCACTGACGTGGAAAGGTCGGGGTGCTCGTTCTGTGTCCTGGTTTAGCAGGGGCTGCAGCTCTGGTGAGACCTAGAGCAGAGGGTGAGGGGATACAGCTGTGCTGCAGGGAAGGAGCCAGGGAGACACAGGGTATTGGCTTGTTCCTCTGGCAGGAGGCACCAGGGCCCTGTCTCAGAGCCGTCTTTCACCTGCTGCTTTAGCAAAGTTCAGATGTGTTGGCTCTGAAGCATTTTTCTTGGCCCAAGACAAGAAACCACTTTTACCTCTGTGCTTATGCCTTCAAAGCATAGCTCAGTGAGTGTCAGCTGCACCAGCTGTGGTGGCCGGGCATGTGTCTATCCCAGGCTTCCTCTGCAAGGAAGGGAAAAGCCTCCCTTTGACAGAGGGGCTACCACAGCCCCTTGCTCCAAGGCCTGGCAGTGCACAAAGCTCTGCCTCCATCCGCCTTCCCCGCTGCCGGAGCTCTCCCCGGAGCCTTAATCCGTCTGGAGCGTGGGCTGCCTGCAAACTCCTCTGTGCTGCGGCGCGTGACGCCCCCCTGGGCCCCTTCTCTGCTTTCCCAGCATCCGCAAAGCGGAGGCCGCGCCGGGGGTCAGCGGGGCACAAAGCGGCTGGGGGGGGGCGCCCTGGCCCCCCCGCCCCCGCCCCCGCAGTTTTTTTTCCCGCCTCAGCTGGCCTGTGCAGACCTGCAGGCAGCAACCACAGCCCTGCCAGGCCACGAACACACCCAGAAGGGTGTGAGCAGAGCCGGGCTCTGCAGCGCAGGGACGCCCAGCCCTAGTACTCACCTGGCCTGCCAGCGTCCCGGCTGCAGCAACCTGACGTCTGCAAGGACAAGGTATTTCTCCCACTTGGCTCGCTGTCCCGGGGTGGCAGCCCATGCCAAGGGGACACCATCTCACGCTGCCACAAGAGGTGGCAGAACGGCAAGGGGGGAGGGTGATTGTCCCTGCTCTGAGTGCAGCTGACGGGGAAAAGGAACGGGGATGTCTGTGCTGTTCCCATACTCTAGAGAGTGGGGACGGGGAGCCCAGGGCTGACAGCATGAGGGAGATGTGAGGCATGAGGCTGGGAGTGGGGTGATCTGGGCTGTGTTGCTGTTTTGGGGTTCCCCATGCTGACCCAGGAGCTCTGCTTTCCCTCCTGTGAGGTCAGGGGACAGTGGGGCTGGGTGCCAGCTCCCACTGACCTGCTCGGGGCATGCAGCCTGAGCTGGCTCGGCTCCGTGAGGCCAAGAGGGTCTTGCCTTGCCTATGGCCACCTGATCGTCCTGTGCCAGCAACCCTGGGGCACAAAGGTTGCTGTGGGGCTGTGAGCACACACTGCCGTATCGGTGACTGTAGCAATGTGTTTGTTGCCCCTTCAAGCCCCCTGTGCTCCCCCCATTAGGGCTGGGGGTGTGCTGTTGGGATTGTTTGGTGGGAGCTGAAGGAATCTCCTTCTGGCCGTGATGGACCCCATCTCCTGCTGTGCAGCTCTCCCCTTGAAGCTGGAACAGAAGCTGAGCAGGGTCTGCTGCATGCCCAGCCCAGCTCTGTTCGGGTACCCTGTGCAGGGGTGTTGCACAATAACTACCAGCGCCAACTGCTGCAGTCCTGCTCTGAGCATTTTCCATCCGAACCCTCCCAATAGCACCACTGGTGTGGATTTGTGGCCAGTCCTGTGCCACTGCTCTGCCAAGCTCCAGTCCTGGCAGCAGCAGCCTCTTGAAGCAGCTGAGTGCTAAAGTTTGGCTGGTACCCATAGCCACTCCTGCTGTACTTTGTACCCTGCGTGGGAATGAGCCCAGGGGGGTGGCAGGGTTTCCCTGAGCAGCTGCTGGCACTGGTCCCTGCGTGAGCAACCTTAGGGGGACAGGATGAGCCCCAGGGGATGCTGCCTGAGACTGCTGCTCCTAGGTGGAAGTGATGCCTCTGCTTCTGGTGAAAGGGGGTTATAAGCCTGCAACCAGAGTCCCCTGGGCATCAGACTCCTTCAGTGCTGCCACTGAGCAGGTCACAGCTGCTGATCTAGATCCCTAGAAGACTGAGTGGGCAGCAGATGTGGGCACTGCTGCACAGCTCGGTACCCCTTGCATTTTGGCTGGCTGGACCTGCTGATGGCAGCCCCCAGACCTGCCCCAGCTCGCACAAGCCAGCTGGGCAAGTTAGTGGTCCTGCTCTTGAGTTGGTACCTGGCTGTGCATACCCCAGCAGCTGCTGCTCTCTGTGAGTCTGCGCCCTCCAGCCCTGGAGTCCAGCACACTGGTGGTATTTGAGAGTGAGGTGCCATGCTGGGGTGCTGCTGTGTCATGGGGGAGACCAGGCTGACCTTGACCATAGCCAAGGCACAGCAGAGCCACTCTGGTGTGGCTGGCTGGGGCTGGGATGGCCTGGGCTAGCTCTGTTCTCTCACTCCAATGCCGAGGTTGGGATGGGACACAGCCCTGCTAGGCACACCCTTGCCCCCATCGCTGGAGAGGATGTGGCTGGGAGGATGTGGTTGGCTGGGTCCTGTGTGCCTGGCTCAGTGGTCGCAGTGAAATGAGTGTCTGGCTTGATATGCAGGATGATAGTGTTGCGTGGGATGTGTGGCCTGTTGAGGAGGTTGGGATAAAGAGTGGGAGCAGCTCTGCAGCAGGGCAAGCAGTAATAAACCCCCTGAGGTTTCTTGGGGTGGATAAATGGAAACCTTGTTTGGGGCTTCCTGCTTCCTCCAGCCAAGCACCAGGAATCTGAGGACCACAGCAAAGCATCCTGGCATCTCTCTCCC